GATACCCGACCAACAACAAGCAGCAATCACTATCGATGGGGAAAATTGAAGGCCACTTCATTCCCTTACCCATGCAACATCGCTGCAACTGTGAGTGGCACAGATGAAGATGCCGAAGCCAGGATCTGAAAGACCATACGAACCTTTATTAACGTGAAATTAGTTTGGAAGTCTCCTGTACTGCACTCAGCATAAATAACGAAGCTCAGTTTTTCAATAAAAGTGTCAGACCAGGCAGTGTTTACATATTTCTCAAAGACTTTGCGTGTCACCAAATCATATCGAGTACGCTGCAGACTTTGATAAGTAGCCAAAATGGCTGGCTATATGCTAAGGTCGGATGACCAGAGGGAACTCTCTATAACTACACCTGGCGACGAAATAACCAAGGACCTATCACCCAATAAGTATGCCAGGAGAAATGGAGATCGATAGTACACTCGCTGAGGCGACAGCTGAGTGACATCGCGAGCTACATCCCAGAGTTAAACCTGGATGTGAAACTATGAGTTTGGCGCGGGATCAATGGTGACAGGGATAAATTTGTGTGAGGAGGAGACACGAGATCATGGGCAATAGTGAAGACAGTTGAGAATCTCTGTATTTAGGTATATATATACATATTTATGTGTAACTTAAGCAGCTTATACTGACATGAGTCCCACAAATAGTTGTGGACGACCGGAATGCCACTTTCCGGTGGAGGATGGGATGCAGTGTGATAACTGCAACCTATGGTTCCATAAAGTTTGCACTGGCTTATCACCATCAGCCTATAGGAGAAGCAGCAAGCCATCATCTCCATGGATGTGCGAATTTTGTGCAAACCCGTTGGATGTCCTCATCCAAGGGGCCGTAGGACTTCTCATGTCGAAGAAGTTACCAAAAACCTCTGATGAGGGGAAAAATGCAACATCTAGTATTTTATTTATTTATTTATTTTTTTTATTTTTATTTACAGCTTGATTTCACACCGTATTCTCAGTACAACTGTGGAATTTTCAGCATGGATATCGGTAGCCCAAATTCAGGCCGACCATAGATATCGGGTGTGCGCCGGCAGGGGATCGAACCCCGGACCATGTGCATGGTCGGCGAGAGTCCTAACCACTGTGCCACCGACGCACAGTACAGATGTTATAAGCGAGGATTCTGGCCTTAGTCATAAAACTGAGGCAGAACCACATCCCCTAGCTTCGAAAGAAGCAACAGAGGTGAAGTTTGCCCAGCAGTCTGCTATAGCACGTAAAACGCCCCGAAAACCTAGGAGGGCAAACAGTGCCAACATTGTAAGACAGCAGGGTGAAACCACAGCGATGAAGCGTTGCGTATCTGGTGAACGCACGGCTTCCAACTGCGGTGAGAGTAAAGTGGAACCATGTGATTCCACCTGGCCAGTGCTGAAGAGTAGGAAGCTCAAGAATCACAGGAAAGAGAAAAGTACTGTGGTTAGTGATAAGGTCTCAACGGCCGTAAACACTGCCAAGATTAAACCTTCGGACTCAAATTACAGTAAAGTAATTTGGAATTTGGAGGAATCGAAGAAGGTAGATCCAGCTGCTCGACATACTGACGATCTCGAAATAGTTAGCTCCATCATCCATGAAATACTTCCGGAAAAAACGAATGGTGTTCACATAAGGAAAGCCATCAGAATCGGTAAACGAATCGCCGATGCAACGGAAAGTTCCCCACAACTGCCGAAGGTAGTACTGGGGAACGAGATGGAGAAAACTATTGTTCTCAACAACGCATTCAAGATCAAGAATAAAAAATGAGAATTACGCCAGACTGGCCTTTGGAAGATAGAATTAGGAGAAGAGAAGCTGTTGCTGAATTAAAGGCCCGATTAGAAAAAGGTGGAAGAGACATCAAAATGTTGGGTTTTCGGGTAGTAAGGTCTCGGAAACCTATGTTACCCAGACCTCTGTTCATAAGTCGAGTGAACACATAGGTCTCTCAGTATGCTACACGAACGCTTGTAGTCTTAGGAATAAGGTTCATGAACTAGGAGTGTTGACTGAGGAACTACGGCCGTATGTGATTGCTATCACCAAAACATGGTTGTTAATGGGTATAGACCTAACTTCACTCATACCTGGGTACATCTGCATTAGAGCAGACAGAGTAAGTAGCCGGAAAGGTGGGGGGGTCGCTCTATACATTCGAGATGACATAGGAATTAGGTCGACGTTGTCGGAAGCTCATGACAGTGGCACCTGTGAAGCCGCAGGTTGTGTCATTAACTTGAACAAAGGCACTGTAACGATAGGGGTTATTTATAGAAGTCCTACCAGCCAAGCTGACAATTTCGTTATAAATCACCTCAGGACGTGGAGTAGAAAGAATAGGTGTCTAATAGTAGGTGATTTTAATGCCCCGGATATTAATTGGGAGGAATTAAAATTAACATCAACTACTTCGTACAATTGTCTCGATAGGGAACTAATACTGGCAGTACTTGAATGCGCACCTGTGAAACATATGGATGCACCAACACGATGCCATCCTGAACATGATCCGTCCACTCTTGACTTGGTGCTAACACACCAGAAGGAGGATGTTGGTAAAATTAGGTGCCTGGCACCGCTAGGCAGTAGTGACCACATAGTTATTACTTTTATGTTCAGGATCCAGGCCGTCATACATAGGTCAAAAGCCGCTCGCCCAAACGTTTGGAAAGCGAATATACCTGCAATCCGAAATGCAGCAACCCTAGCTGACTGGTCTGCTAACACACACCAGACTGTCGAGGAGGCTTGGATGGGATTTAGGAATACACTAGAGTGCGTCACTGCACCCTTTGTACCTTGGTCTACGCCTCGAAAATTATCTCATAAACCACCTTGGATTAGTAATGAAATAAGGAGGTTACTAAGAAAACGAAAGCACTTATGGGACCGGTTTGCTGTGACTGGGAGGGATGAGTTTCGGGTAGAATACCGCAAAGTTCGAAACCTTTGCAAGTATGAGATTGACAAAAGTCGTATACAGTACGAGAGACAGTTAGTACTGGATTGTGTGCATTATCCAAAAAGACTGTTCTCTTATATCAAACGCAGGACTAAAACTAGTAGTGGCATACCGTCCCTCATTAGCAACACAGGAGAGGCTGCAGAATCAGACGAAACAAAAGCTGAGGAGCCCTCCGAATATTTCTGTGATGTTTTTCGTCTAATCGTACCACCCAGAGGTGTAGTGAGGTAACGGGTGTAGCCCCTAAAATGCCCCCAATTGTGGTAGATGATGTAATGGTTCTGAAACTACTGTCTAAGTTGAAGCCAGGTAAATCACCTGGACCAGACGGACTTCACCCTAGATTGCTAAGCTCCCTGGCGGATATAATATACATTCCACTTATGGAGATTTTTCAGATGTCTCTGACCCAGGCTAGGTTACCCAGAGACTGGAAAGATGCTTTTATAAGCCCCATCTTCAAAGATGGAAATAGACAGTTAGTATCTAACTACCGGCCTGTAAGTCTGACCTGCATTATAGCAAAGGTGTTAGAAAAACTCATAAGGGACCAGCTCTTAGCTCATACGGAAAAACATGGCTTACTGGCAGTGGAACAGCATGGATTCCGACCAGGACGATCCTGCTTGACAAACTTACTGTTAGGGAAGATTGGGTCGAGGCCAGGGATAAAAACCATCTACTGGACGTTATATTTATCGATCTTAGTAAATCATTCGATAAGGTATCCCACTTAGGTCTTCTTAGTAAACTTAAACATTTTGGATTAGACCAACGCTTATGCGAGTGGTTTAGTGACTACCTGATGGATAGGAAGCAGAAGGTAAGGGTTAATGGTGTACCGTCAGGGTGGAAAGCAGTACTAAGTGGAGTGCGTCAGGGAACGGTACTTGGCCCCTTGCTATTCTTATTATACGTAAATGAAGAGCCAAAAATTCTTACCTCATCTTCCTTACTATTTGCGGACGATATTAAGATATGGAAAACCGTAAATAGCAACGATGATAGGTTGGTACTACAAAACGATCTAGACAAATTAACCGAATAGGCTAACCTTTGGAGTCTGGAAATTAATTCCAAGAAAAGCGCGGTAATGCACCTAGGTCAGAAGTCTTACACGTCGTACTCCATGGGGGACACAGAAATGGCAGATGTTAGGGAACAAAAGGACTTAGGAATTATTGTTAACCATGACTTAAAAACAACGGCGAACTGTAATCGAGCCGCAGCTAAGGCTTTCCGAATGCTATGGGCACTTCGAAGATCTTTCAAACGATTAGACGAGGGTATGTTCCAAGTACTCTATGAACATATGTCAGGCCTCATCTAGAGTACTGTATACAAGCGGCGAGTTCATGCTTCAAAAAGGAGGCACATACCCTGGAAGGAGTACAGAGGGTAGGAACAAAATTAGTTAGTGGTATCTCACACCTTCCTTATGACAAGAGGATGGAGCATTTAAATCTCTTCCCATTATCATACCGAAGGAGGAGAGGCGACTTGATTTTGGCTTACCATATATTCAAGGGTGATTTAGGGATTGACCTTTCAAACCTTTTCTCTCCCTCTAGGATACATTTACGGGGTCACCAGAAGGTGCTCAAACCAAGGTGGAATAAAATACGTTTGGAGTTTAGATTCTCTCACAGAGTGGTCAACGACTGGAACTCCTTACCTGATTCAGTAGTAACAGCTCCATCGGTGAACGCCTTCAAAGAGAAACTGGATCTCTGCAGAGATATATATCGCGAGGATTAACATAGGCAACAAGGGCCTTCTATCCTTATAATCTGAATCTGAACGACTGTATACAACAAGGTGAAATGGAGATGTGCTTCTGAGACCACATTTTCCAATCGGAACCCGATGGGGTAATATTATTGATACTGTAACTCATTGGAGGCTAATATGGAGCCCATATTCACGAACATTTATATTACAGCTTGCTTCACGGGATTTGTTTCTTGTTGTGCTTTTTTATTCTTTCGTTGATAATGGTATCGCTTTCATGCTAACGTCTCTTACTGGGGCATTAAATACTATAATAGAGATCGCGTTGATCCCAACAGCCGAAATTTTGGTGATTTTGAGACATAAAACTCCTAAAAATCCAGCTTAATTGACATGGGTGGTGTTGGACGTTCGACATTTTTTGCATCTAATTCAGTGAACTCTCGCAGCGGGAGATACAAAGCTTTTCTGAGCGGGAGGTCGAATTGGTAACTATGTTTAATACAATTCAGAATATAATATGACATATCTGTCTGACCATTCCTTTTAAATGGTCGCTATTACTGGTGCTTAAAGTTTGACTTCACCGTCGTTATCATTTATTTGTCAATATTTTCTTTTGAAACTGTATATAGTTTTATTATAAATTATTTAAATTAATCCCAGTGTGTATGTTGTTTTATTTCAGATTTGAATACCGGCTGGGTTATTCTTGGTTGCAGCAAATTTAGTTTCGCCCCTCCCCCTGTTTTTGTATTTAGTGACAGCTTAAGCAGCCAAAATATTTCATCAGACTCATTTATATTTACTTCCCTGGCGTAAAGACGCGTTACAGTCTGCTAATCACTCCTTTAAAGTACGTGACTAAATGCTTAGTTTCACTATCAAAAACTTTGGGGTTTTAAAATTTTGAATTAATGAACTACGTAAAAGTTTCAGAAGCCTAGATTGTGTATTTGCTTCTTGATTAAAACTAGTTTCTAATTATTGAATAGCATGCTTTGAGTTTTTGTAGACTGAAAAGACTTGCTTGTAGAAATCAGAAGCAACGTAAAGTCTATGTGTTTGAAATAGTTAAATATCTTGTTTATTGTTAAAGTCGCTAGCAAGCGGATGAGTTTGGACATTTGAAACCGAAGTGCTTAAGTAAAAAAGTTAGGTTTATTTCTCTTCACTTCTTTTATTTATCATACACCGTACGAAGTAAAGCCATCTAAATCTGTACTTGAAATCGGTCAAATTCACATGGCATTCAGTTGAAATTCATTGTCTTTACACCATTGGGACTTTGTTTTGCCCTGTTTTGTTTTGGGAACCGTGTTTTTGTATTGTGCATGTGAAATGCATAGTTGTATACAACAAACTTATTTTCATTTCAAAAGCTGAACTGTGTACTAAAAACCTATTCCTTGCATTGGGTACCTCTTGTGAGTATTTTGCAGGCTTGTAAGGTATTTAGTTAATTGCAATCGGTCGTTACGTATCCGGGAATTTTCAACCGCTTTTAAACTGCTCAAAAGGAATTGTAAACTGTACCACAGACAAAAAGATATTTCAGTTGTCGGGGTTGTATCTGACCGGCAGTTACTTATCTAACCTTCACAGGAGATGTGTTCCTGTGAACCAAATCAAATTTTTTGTATATATTTACAAATATATGAAAAGGATGAATGTTTTCAGTAAATTTTTATCCACAGTTTATCTTACTCAATTTGTGTTTATATGACCTTTTGGTTTGTTTTTTGAGGTATTCTAATGTTATCTCTGTACAAAGTTCTGAGCCTATTGTTTTACCTTCCTGTTAAGAAATCAAAGGGAATGACTTACAACTATGGTAATATTTAATCAGTGTGACAATGAGTCAGTGATTCTTGTTTATTGTATAAGACGTAAGAAAATATAGAAGTCTAACTAACATTGTTTTGCGTATCAACAAATTTAAGCTTAAACTTTAGAACTTTGCAGTGAATTTTCGATGTTAGGTGTCCTATTAATATGAAGCAATACTCAATGGGGAGTCGCTATAGTATCCAGCAATCATTTTGCTAATAATGGCATGTTATTTCCATTAAGTGACGTTATCTGAATAAATATTTATTGTTTTGATTAATTTTCGCTCGGTGTCTTTCCTGAACGAAGGCAGCAAAATAAAATGGTAGTTAATACGCACAAATGTGATATTTCCAAAATATCTCTTAACTCTACTGGAGTGTTGAAAGGACGTGTAATAAGATATTTGGAGTTACCTATACAGAGAGTAGTGAATTTACCTGTGCAACTCATTCGTAACATTTTAGATATCCTAATCACGTACGCCTAGGCAGTAAGACATATAGTCTACATATATTCTAGTACTACCGTATAGTAATCCAGGTTGCCACATTGCATAACAAATGGGTAACAAGATATGAAGAAAATTAACCGATTAAAGAAGTTGTAGATAGGTTTTATGATAATTACTCTTCTTAACTCAATCTAAATCTGACCAATCATGAGTAGTTAGTGCCATGTGAGTCTCTGTCAAGAATTCTGTATTTAATATTTCAATTTATCATTCTTCGAAATGCATGAAAAACTTGGGACGTCTGTTATCTGTTCTAAATAAAGAATCGAGTCACATCTTGTAAAGTACACTGTTTCTTTAGTAGACACTAATTTAACTCATTTCTGTAGCTGACTAAATCAGATATCAAATGTGAGGGTACTATCACTAAACTATATTTTAGCAGCAAAATTAAGGTTGGTAATGTCAGTCTATAAAGCCTATCAATATGAATGTTTTGAAGTCAAATGAATCTGTATGTGATGCTGACCATTTGTCTCGTTTTTATATGCTACCTTGTCTCATATGAAACTTCATTACACATGATTTTCTTTATTATTTTCTTTGCAGCTTTAACTGACTTTTTTCCTTTCAAATGTCCACTTTTCGAAGAATTGGTAAAAGGCTTGTTATGGTCGGTGCACTATCTGGTGTTAGTGCCGCATTCCTTCTTGAAGCTATTCCAAAAATTAATGAGGCCAGAAGAATGAAGGTAAGATCTGTGTAACGTTTTCTTGATAAGTTGAATTAATATTTGTGTGTAGGTATACAAGTGAGTTATTATTGTTTTCTGAGGTTCGCATTTGATACTTGCTTACACTAGCACTTAGTTTTAATTGAAGTACGTATGTTGGATGGAAAGTCAAATATAAAAGAGAGGGGAATTTAGTGGTATTACAATTAAAAAACACGTGACAAGAGAGAATAACCTAGTGGAGATAAGTTTAGACGTTCAGATGTAGAGGTTTGCAAAGAGCAAACTGTTTTACGCCATTTCAAATCTCCAAAGATTGATTTACAGCATCTGACAGACCCAACTATGCAACAGACGACCGAGAATACCCTACAAAATTTCCCAACTTGGTGTAATATTTCCCTGCCTTTTCCTAGTTCAGCCAATATTGTTGTTCAAGAAAGTCACTGAATAAGTTTATTTAGCACGTGTTAACCACCTCATTAACTGATTTTTATCCTTTACTTAATATTCTGCCTATCTTGAAATTATTTTTTTATGATTCTAACTGACTTGAGCAGTACAACTTGTGAATTGTTCTGTTGAAGGTGAAAATTCATCACGATTTCCTTCAGAATGTGGGCACTATTGTGAAGAAAGTTTTGGTCAACAGTTGCAAGACTATAGTCTAATTTCTTTTGACTTTTCCTGACTGTTACAGCACCATTTAAATTTGTCATATTACATAAATCAGTAGCCATAATTAACACTTTCAGCCCTAGTATTAAATTTGGTAAAACGGATGTCAATAATTGTTTGGTTAATTACATGACGATTCTTTTGTAGAATATCATCAGCCTAGTTTGTTGTAATTATCTCTATAAATGTGGATATTCGACAAGGTTTCGTTGATTTTTTTTCCTTCACGTTCCCCAGTGGACTTTCTGTAGCAATGTTTATTTTACAGGATGCGGTTACTAGCCTCATGCCCAACCTTTCCTCTTCACCAGCATTATTTCTGGCTTAGCGAAGTAAAGGAGTGCGTCGGTGGCCGGGGATCGAACCCCGGACCATGTGCATGGTCGGCGAGCGTCCTAACCGCTATGCCACCGACGCAAAGCGCTCCCGCGCCGGGAATCGAACCCGGGCCGCCTGGGTGAAAGCCAGGAATCCTAACCACTAGATAATTTAGATAATTATGTGTAAATGAACATACGAAGATAGAATCAGTCATATAAAAACAGCATTAATCTAGTGCTATATGATAATTGACTAAATGAATGGAAGTCATAGTTTCAGTTTTGCTATCATTACCTTTATTCTTTTGTAAGTGTGAACGCGTTTTCACCACGGCCACCACCACCACCACCACTTCTAACTAGAGAACCACTGGAAAACCATGGAGTTGCTGGTTATCCAACCGATGTCAGCTTGTGATTAAACATGTAACCAATCAGGGGTCCCTGCAAACGAACACTTCTGCTTTTTATTTTCGTTAATTGATTTTTACAGACAGTTTGTTTACACAGCTCGTGTTATACACTTAACCATTTAAAATGAATCTACGAATCAGAAAGTGTTTTAACGCCTTTCGAATTAATCAGATCTTATTAAAGTGAAAATAATGTAATCAAAAAACAAATCATTACATCGCGTGTAGGCGGTATGAACTAGGATTACATAAACACCAGTTAGGTAATATCTGACTAACAAGTGTAATCCATCGAGATAATGTGTGCTGTATTCAATTATCATAGAGTGAAAATTGAAGCAAACTAAATAACGCTTACTACTTGTGTACTTTATTGATATGGTATGAAAGCTCGAGTAGCAATTATGAAAAACACCGTAGGACTTGCAAAACCAATGTACATTACTAAATTACGATCAGCAACGATAAAGAAGTTGGAGATAGTTTTGAAGTATTTGCTTTTTTTGTAGGGATTTTGTTTGACTGGTTGGAGGATTTCATCATGAGCTAAAATCAGTACTGGACAGCTGTTTCGTCCTAGTTTTACACTCTTCATCAGTACGCATCAATCGAGGAGATAAATGATAATAACAATAGCCTAAAGAAAATAATTCAAAATGGGAGTTAAAGGTCAGATTACAAGGATGTAGGCACATAAGGTATCCTCTGTGTTTCTTATACTGAAATCAGATAGGTTGTGGCTCCCTGACCACTAACTCAGCACCATTTGTTCTGTACTACCTCTAGTTCAGCTGTCGCATTTCTATAATATAGACGCTAAGCAGTGTTTACAAACTAATTCAATTATGTGCATAGGCCTATCAGTCTATCAGTCAAATTCACATGAAGGGACTTTTTTCCGTATTGTTTAAATCGCTTTATGTTTCTTACTCTGTAATGTTTTGCTCAAACATAAATACTTCACTAAATGTAGTGTCTTTTACTTTCTAGGCTTCATTTCGTTTCTGTGGCATAGTTTGTTAATTGTGTTTGTTACCATTAGTAACTGTTTTGATAATATATCTCACTCTTTTTTAGCGTTGTTAAACAACTGTAATACAGATGATTTTATAACTTCTTATCATTATCATTTCCAATTATTTAGGCTTTACAATCAAAACCCAAGCCTTCAAAAGAAGAAATAGAACGCTTTGAAAAACCTTTACCAACTCGTGATGAACAACTGAAACGTATGGCTTCAGGTGAAACCTTTGACGTTTTGATAATTGGTGGTGGAGCAACAGGTGCCGGTATCGCAGTTGACGCTGCATCTAGAGGTGAGTGTGAAGTTTGCATAGTGTTTGTGCGGTGATAAAACGAAGTAAAAACACCGCCCATAGAACGTTATTTGCGCTATCCATAAATAAACAAATTACCTGTCTAAGTGTTTGAGAAGCAGACAAGTAAGACTTGATCAAAACTGTTACATTTCTGGAAACAAAAAAAAATTCTTCAAGGTGTTGTCAAACAGACTTTCTCCTCAATTCTTTTTGTAGTGTGTATACTCAGTTTTAGGATGAGTCCACCAGCAATTAGCCTTGAACCAAGGTCTTATGCTTGTTTGTATTCATTAATAGATCGTTTCTATAAGCTTAAAAAACTCAGTTCTTCCATATGGTTCAGAGACCTGGAGTGCCACAAGTGCCAACAGGCTGCTAAAGATTTTTATCAGCAGCTGCCTTCGCTCCATAATTAAGATCAAATGGCCTGCCAGAAACGACAACTTTGGCAGCTAACCAACCAAGAACCTATTACCCAACAAATTTGCCGAAGAAAATAAAGATGGATGGGACACATACTCAGGAGACCGTCAAGTAACATCACGCGCCAGGCCATCGCTTGGTTGGAATCCGGAAACGGCGGGTTGGGTGTCCGAGAGTGACGTGGAGAAGGTCGTGTGAGGAAGATATGAGAGCTCATGAGCAATTGTGCAGCCAGCTGAAAAGGACTGGAAGACGGGATGAAATAGAGATGGGCTGTTGAAGACCTATGTTCCACTCGGAACCTAAGGGAATAATGATAATATTAAGATAATACACTAATATTCTCTTGTTAAGAAAGTAGAGCCCTGTACTCTGGGGGATTAGTAGGATATACTAAGTGTTTAGTGTCTTATTCATGTACCATAGTGATTGTTTTTTCAATTTTAGAAAAGTAAATTTTAAATCCACCTTTAGGCTTTTCATGATTGAGTTAATAGCTTCCAGTAATTAAGCATAGTTGAAGTAGTTGCCACCAGTTGCGTCTAAAATATTGGCTGCTGTCTTGCTTCTCAGGCTGTGCAAAATACGTGAAGGATTGATTTGCGAAGAGCAGGCTGGGTTTTTTTCAGGTCGTGGATGCATTGATCATGTGTTCACCCTTTGTCAGTTGTTGGAACACCGCCACACGTATTGCAGGCCAACAATCGTTGTGTTTCTTGATATCAGGGCTGCCTTCGATTCGTTGGACAGAACTGTGCTCTGGAACTGTCTGTTAGAGAGGGGTGTACCTGAGAAGTTTGTTAACATCTTGAAAGCCCTATACAGAAACACCTCAGGTAGAGTGGGGGCATACAACCAACTATCACCACTGTTCCCGACCAACAGTGGGGTTAGACAGGGTTGCCCAATCTCTCCATTTCTCTTTAACTTTGCCATCGATGACATTCTGGAGTCAGCTCTGAAGGATGTGTGTGAATGTGGTGTAGATCTGCTCCCTGGAGATAGACTTTTCAACCTCTAGTATGCAGACGATATCGTCTTACTGTGCGATAGCACGCAGGCTGCCCAAATCTCACTTAATCAGTTGGCGATCAGTGTCTGTAAGTATGGTATGTGCTTTGCACTGTCTAAGTGCAAAGTACTGTTACAAGATTGGCAGGAGCCTGTACCTGCACTCACTCTTGCTGGTGAACCGCTTGAAGTTGTCGATAAGTTTGTGTATCTCGGTAGTTGTGTGAGTGCTGGCGGAGGGGTGACGGATGAGATTTCCAACCGTATAATGAAGGCTAGGGTGGCATACATCAACTTGAGCCACCTCTGGCGCCGTCGCGGCGTTAGCCTGGCTGTCAAAGGTCGAGTATACTTCGGTGCGGGCTGTCTTGCTCTACGCCTGTGAAACCTGACCTCTCCGAGTTGAGGATGTGCGGCGGTTCTGTGTGTTCGATCATCGCTGTCTCCGTAGGATTGCTTGCGTTCGATGGCATCATCGCGTGTGTTTTTCTGAGGTTCGGCAGCGTGTGCTTGAACACAGTGGAGATCACCATCCATTGAGTGTCGTTATCTGGAAACACCGGCTCTGGTGGCTTGGACATGTGCTGTGAATGTTATCCTGGAGGCTTCCGTACAGGTCTTTGTTCGCTAGCTCTGGGACGGGATGGAAAAGGCGGAGAGGTGGTCAGTCCATGACGTGGCGTCGTGGGATGAAGGATATTTGTACTAGATTAGCATCGATTGGTGCATCACGACTCCCTGGTTGGGGTCCGCGAGATAGCTCGAAACGTTATCGGATATGGCCAAGAATTTTAATCAATGGCGAACGTGTTGCGATTTCCTTCTTTCTTCCCTTCCCGATGATAGTTGACGAATACTGTTTGAACTTGTTAAGAATGACTGTTTTCCTTCCAGATGAAGTTCTTCACCCGTTCTCTACTTATATTTTTACTTTTAATCTATGTTTTTTAATTATTATTGTGTGGCGCATCTTCTTGGTGCCATATTGTACCAAGTTTTTTTTTGCGTTTAAATAAATAAATAATAGTTGCCATCAAAAATTTCAAACATAGTCTAGGTGTTTAGAAGAATTTTGTGTGCTGTTTTTTCCCTCTGTGATCTGGAAAAATCTCTGTCCTGGTGATACCAGGTAGCTGTTATCTTTTGATTTAGTTGTGTTCTCTGAGCTGGTTGATTTCATTGTGAAGCTTTCATTGTCCACCATCTAGACAACATCTCCAGCGCAGGTATTTAGTATGAAATGAACTTATTTGAATTCGCCATGAATGATATAATTGTATTTCCTGACAACCAATCACGATAGTGGTTTGTCAGAAGGACAACGAAAACTTCGCGATTAAATCAATCAGCTCAGAGAACACAACTAAATAAAAATTATCCACCTGGGCTACAAATCGTCTCCATTAACTGTTATCTATATTATTATTATTATACCCGGTTTTAATAAATGTTAGTCTTTATTTCATCGTTTATTATAGAACCAAATACTTTACTATCAAACTGTTATGACACAATAATTATTTTTCATTTCTATCCCTTAACAATCTAATGACTAAACACAAAGATTGTTTAGGTGCATTGATGATTCAGTGGTAGAATACTCGTGAACCACCCCCACGTTATCTGGGGTTCAATCCTCGGCCGATGAACTCCTAAACACATTTCTTTTAGCTGGTAATAAGCCGAATAAAAAGAGGAGACCTTGGGTGTGAGGCTAGCAACTCTACCCTGTAAAAAGAATAACACCAGCACTACTGAAACTTCAACACTGAAGTTTGAAGCTCCGTACAAATGTGCAAAAGCATAAAACAACCCCGAGATAATAATAATCACTTGCATAACCTTGATTTGCGTCCAATTATTCATTTATATGAAATTTAATTCTGTCAGACATTGTAGATGTAATTATGAAACCTGATGACAGACTGCTGAAAATACCTGTTTGCTTAGCATCATTAATAGTTTCAGTCTGAAGTACGCCAATATCATATTTATCTAATGTGATTTCCAAATGTTTGGGAAAATATAGCTTCGTTCAGAAATAAGTCTCTAAGTAACAGACTATCGCTCAAAATGCACACTGAGGAGTACGAGTGGGTGTGAGACCTGGCCATTGAGAGTGGAAGACTGGCTAACTGTCTTTGATCATCGATGTCTGCGTCCTACTTCTCGTGTTACGTGGTATGATAAGGTGAGCAATATTGAGGTTATGCATAGGTCGAGTGCTAGGTAAGGAGTGGAAATCAGTAGACAAGTTTGTAAAGTTACACCGATTGAGATGGTTAGGACATGTGTTACGTATGCCTAGCCATCGCCTTCCTCGATGGGCAATGTTAGCTGAAATAGAATCAGGTTGGAAAAGAGCCATTGGTGGTCAAACAAAAACATGGCTTCATTAGTCAATGAAATCCACAACAGTTGGTTTAAGTCATGTAAGAAGATGTAGACTTCCTGGTTGGGGTCCTCGGGGCTGTAAACACCAATGGCTGGAGACAATCAGTGGCATGGCTCAAAATTGTTCTCTTTGGCGCAGATACATCCACTCCTTGTGACTTATAATTTCCAATAAAACTATATTGTTCTTCCTTATTACTATTCTTTTTCCCTCATATCTCTGTTTACTGTCTCTATTTTGCGTTTCTTTTTACTTTCTTCTTCTCTGGTTTTGTGTGCTGAGTGAAGTGTGGCGACTTGAACTACTGCATATTGGTGCAAAGTTCTATGTTGAAACCAGTCAGTCAGTTAGTGCATTTCCACATACCTGGTCAGGCACTTGACTAAAACTATTTTCAATTTAAAGAATGACATTCTAGTATTATTTGTTGTTAACAATTATTATCTGGTTCAAACTGCACGTGGTTTCCTTTTTCAAAAGGACATGATTTAAGATTTTATCCCTATATTAATTTACTTCATTTCGCCTAATTAATTAAAATGTTCTACGGCACACTGAACTAATCATGCATATGACGTCTTCAGGAGAATCAAGGTGGTTTACACATGTCAGTCAATTATCCATTAACGATGTAATCATGGGAAAAAGAGATTAACTGATCGATATATATGTTTATTTTCGGTGTTTGACAGTGATGCTACCTTTTTAAGTCACTTATTTTAGGATATATGGTAAATCGTTATCGGCTTTTCCTTCTTGACCAATCAAATGTTTGACTTAAAGTACATGAATAATGAATGTATCGGTGTATCAAGTGTTCTGAAATAATCCAAATAGAAATACATACAAATCTATATCGATTTAGTTAAAGAGAAGTAATATCGCTTTGTGGATATAAATTTCAATTTTCTGTCACAATTAAAAGTGAATGCTTTGTACTTTTGGGAATTTCACATTGTTTACGATAGGTGTGGCATTATTCAATGTGAAGTGTTCACATATATACATATATATATTGTTACAAAGTTCACGGCCTGTTTATTTCACAATGAAACTATTTGAGGTAGCTTTAGGTTGAAAGAATGTTATATATAATCATCATGGTATAGAATAGATAAGTTTTTACTGTGACTGGTCGTTATGAATAGTATTCAGGTTTGATGACGGATTGATATCAGTTAGATGACCAATTAAAACCGGCGAGTACTGGACAGGCGTTTCATCCAACCTTGGGATTCTTCAGCAGTACCTACCAAAGAGCCCATTGGAGATCTAACCTAAGACTTGAAAAAAGAAATAAAAGCTTTATTCTGAACAAATTGTTTACACAACGTTCAGAATTCGTAGCGTAATTTATTGCATAATATTTTCCCCTCATCCAGGATCTTTAAGTAAATTAACAGTCTATAATGTATCACTTGACACAATGCTATTGCATTTGATGCATGGACTATTCCTTTATGATACTTTTTCGTCTCCACGACATACCCACTGGTAGTTTGAAAGCCAAATGAAAATGCGCGTGAATACAAGTTACAAGGTCAATTAGTTAACCATTCAGTCATTATGAAAGAATTCAGTGACCCATGAATTTTAACTTCTGTCAATTCATGATATGCACTATAGCGTGACTGTCAGCCAAAGTCATCGTTTAGCATTGACCGAAGTCGGTGGTACAGTGGTTAGGACCCTCGCCGACTACGCACATGGTCCGGGGTTCGATCCCCTGCCGACGCATACCTGATATCTATGGTCGGCCTGCAAAATTTGGGCTACCGATATCACATGCTGAAAATTTCATACCTGTACCTGTGGAATCAAGCCGTAATAAAAAAAAGAAGTTAGAATTCATGAACTGTTGGCTTCTTTCCCGGTGGTTGAATGATCAGTGAACTTGCCTTGTAACCCCATGTTCCTGAGTTCAGATCGCGATGGCCTCGTGCGTACGTACTGCTGAAGAGTTCCAAACCAGGATGAAATAGCCGTTCACTGGTTCTCTAGCTGATATCAATCTGTCTGTCAACAAAATTGACAAATTTACAGTATCAATCACACTTCGAGTAGAATCATTCGAGATGATTAAATCTGTTAGACAGTTAAAATAAAAATTCGTATGCACAAAAATGGCTAGTACTTGATATCATAGGCACATATCAATATTAAACTGTACTTTATTCGCCTATAAGTTAATTATTAAAAAAAGTGCAATTAGTCCAAAAATAAGTGTTTGTTCTCCAATAAAATCAATTATGTCATGTGAAGTGGGTTTTTTTTCTCTCATTCTTAAAGCCTATGAATGAATATTCAACTTCATTTAGAAAATTCTTATTATACTGTAAACTGTTGTATGCATGTGTAGACTTAACTATAATATTTAATCGATAAATATGCGGTAAAGTGAAGAAGAAAAACAGAAAGTGTAAAAAAACGAACTTTTCCAACAATCTTTCCTTTCTGATCATAAAGTTTTAATTGATGTCTCTACTATACTACACACACACAAACACACTTGTCAATTACACGAAACATTTTCTACGCATGTGTGTTTGTACGTTTTACTTTTGTGTGTGTGTGTGATGCGTAAGTGCGTTCGTTTGCAACTGAGATAGTTCCTTTTAATTGGTGGATGGTGACTAGCATTGCAATCCAGGATGCGCATTTCGTCCTATTTGGGACTCGTCAATTGGATGTACCTGCATTTCTCAGTGAGTGATGATGTTCTTACCGAGGCTCGAACCCAGTGCCCATAGTTTCCAACGCCAAAGCGTTATCCACTCGACCACTTGGGCCACGAGAGCCACCTCTTGTGCAACGGGTCATATTGATTTAATTGAATTTTAGATTTTTCCCGTCAATTGATTGGACCAAAGTGCTCGGTCTCAGGTTGACATGTCGGCTTTTTAATGCCCAGACATCGTCGAAGCATCTGCTCAAGAAGCCGACATGTCAACCTGAGACCGAGCATTTCGGTCCAATCAATCGACGGGAAAAATCTAAAAGTCAATAAGATAGTTCCGTTTCTCAACAGACTGAAACAACTGAATTGAAACATTTAGTCACCGCTTTAGTAAATTTATATAAAGCCTTAAGAAAGAAAAATATCATGAGTTGACTTCATATCGTAGTTTCTCTACAATCGTTCTACCAAACAACATGGTTCACAATAATAAAATAAAGTAAAAGGCATGACAATTACGCAGTTATGCAAAACAAAAGTACATACTAATAAACAATCATATTTAAATAGGTCAAGTAGTCAGTTCATGGTAGGCGAAGAGGTTGAAGTGTCTATTGTTTTTACATACACATAGTTTAGGATGTATGTGATTGATTAATCCTCCAAAGTGCTTCCATCATCACCTTGAATAACCTTGAATTAGAGTTATGTGATGAAATAATTGTGAAACAGTCGTTGATATTGATTTTGTGACTAGACATTAATTAATAAGTGCTTTGCAATGGATGATGATGGATTTCTATTCAGATTAATTGCATTGGGATTTTCTGTGTTTTAATGACCCTTTTTGGAACATGTTGTTTCCGACGTCACTGGAAGATTCTGATATAAGAATAGAACTTGTGCATTGTGCTAGAGTATAATTCCACTATGGGTAAAATTTATTTTGATAAAATTCTAAGATGTAATATAGGTAATTGGAGAAAGAGAGGTTGATTGCTGAATCCTTGTTCATTGATAGGAATGACTCATCACTCATACCGGAAATGTGGAGAATACTACTACCAATAAAATCAAGCTATAAAAAATAATAGAATTATATAAACGAAGTTAGAAAGTTGTGTGAGTACCTTGATATGATTATGAGCAATAAATTGTGCGATGAAGCTTCCTTGATATCCATTAGCCAATAAGACTGAATGTATGCTCCTTAGCTCATCCATTATTGTGTCACTCATGCAAATTTTATTTGCATTTCACTAGAGAACGTTTATACTGAGTAGGAAGAAAACTGATGAAAAGATGTTGTCCAGTCCATGTCTGTTTGGGAAATATTGATCGCTTAGTTGTTCCGGCCTTCTGCCTAGTCATTGAAATATTCAAAAAAAAACATAACTAACCCTTACAAACCAAACTATAGAAAATTAATCTGATGCTCGCTAGTGACTTGCTACAGGATGGAGTTTCCTGGAGTTCTAGTGAGAAGTCTTGACCAGTGAAGTTCAATTAGATGTCACGTGTGTGGATGGATATCCCACCGACGACACTGGTTGGGGTCGCGCTAAATCGCGAATCGGTAGAAGTTAGAATTCATGAGCCATTGAATCGGGTCCCAGTGGCTGAATGGTATACGACCTTGCCTTGTAACCGGAAGATCTTGGGTTCGAATCCCAGTGGGTGCGTGCCGATGAAGAGTCCCAAACTAGGATGAAACAGCTATCCAGTACTCCTGTGCTGGTTTTCAATGGTTCTCTAATTCATATCAATCCGTGATCAACTCGTAAAGAAAAATATTCAAGAAACCCAATTTGTTACGTAATTTGAATTCTGATGTTACTAGAATATTTAGATGAATGGCAGTAAATAGAGTAAATGAAGTTGTCAATCGACTCATCATTGTTACCAATAACAAGACTATCATTCACATAACTTAATTTATTCAGGACACTTTTGAATCTCTTCTAATCACTGGAAACATCCGTTGATCGGAGAAAGAACTTGAAAATGTCAGGAATTGCAAAATGAACAATAATCATAGTCATAATGAAAAGAATTAAGAAAATAGTGCTGAGAGACTTATCATTTTATTTACTTCCTTCGCGTTCCAAGTGGAATATGAGGCTTCAAGCTTCAAAGTTCCTCTAGCGGTGGTGTTATCTTGTACAGGGCATGGGCTCCACCTTCCTTCTCTATCTGCTGAACTAAGCTTGGGAGTGCGAAGGCCAGGAATCGAACCTTGGACCACGTGGGTATTTGGAGAGTATTCTACCAATGAACAACTGACACACTAATACCAACAAAAGGTAACTTTAATTGGAACAAGAATAATACCCCTTCCATCTTATCTATCTGTACTTGACCTGTAAAACATTTTAACCTGTTGTTTATTGTGGTCGATTATTTATCAGTCACATATCTCCCCTTATACTTCTCATTAGTAGATATAACACTGTCTGTTGCCTATTCAGCTGAAGAGTTCTACCGAAATTCGATAAATTCATTTAATCCCGCCTCTATTAACATGTGTTGTTTATAGCATTTATCTCTTTTCACTATCTATCCGAACTCCACAATATATTTCTTAACAACGTACAACTTAACTTTAAGCCTGTGAAATGAAACTTCCTTTCTTCGACTGATACTTGATAGTTTTTAATTCTCGAGAACCATCACTCACCTCAGTGTTCTGAGAGTACACTACTATCAGATCTTGGTAATCATCATTCATACGATACAGTCATTCAAAGCAGACTGTCTATTCTTAAGAAATGAATAGTTTCTGTCGTTTTTTATTCATGTCTTTCTGTGTTTATCAGTGTTCATTGTTCCGTAGACAGACAAACAAACAAACAAAGGGATATTATTTAGTAGTCTCCGAAAGTTATCATATTTCACATTAAATAGCTACTCAAATTGAATACAACAAAACTGAGAGTGAGCATCAAATACGACTCGTGTTTATTTTTTTCCTCAGTATTTTCTCTTAGGCTGATTATGAAATAATTTTCAAACTTGGCCAATAATTATGTAATCAATAAATAGGGGTGATTTTTGAAGTTCTGTGGGTCAGAATGTTGAGTATTGCATATATTTTGTAATTATTTAAATATGGTAAATCTTCAGCTGTCTCCACAACAACAAATACTATTGTCTGCCGACTTACTTAATCAACTGTATAACTGTGTTTACCATTTTTTTCTTCTTGTCTTGTTAAATAGGCTTATCAACTTGTCTCATCGAAAGATTGGATTTCGCTTCGGGTACATCTTCTCGATCAACTAAACTCATTCATGGTGGTGTTCGATATCTACAAAAGGCTATATTTAACTTCGATATAGAACAATTTCGTATGGTCAATGAAGCGCTTAATGAACGATCAAATCTAATTGATATAGCTCCACACTTAGCTTATCCATTACCAATTATGTTACCGATTTACAAGTATGTCTTTAACATTTGTGCATTTCTTATTGCTTATGAAGTTTTTTTTATTCCTTTATGTTTCTTAGTAGAACAGAGGGCTTCAAGCTAGAGGCTTGAAGTTCCGGTAGCAGTGGTGTTTATTTTTACAGGATGGGGTTGCTAGCCTCATGCCCAACCTTTCCTCTTTACCAGTCTTATTACTGGCTTACAGAGGTAAAGGAAAGCACCGGCCGGGGCTCGAACCCCGAACCACCTGCGTGGTTGGCGAGCATTCTGTATGTATGATCTGTTATTTTGGTTGACGATGACTACTAGTGGGATCCAGGATACGAATTTCATCCTATTTGGGATTCATCAAATGGGTGATGGTATTACCACTGAGGTCCCAATCCAAAACCCATCGTTTCATACACCAGAGTACTATGTACTTCCTTTGTTATTATTATTATTATTTGTGTGCATGATTCTAGTAGAGTTTCTGCGATCATAATCATTGATTGGCACTTCTTCTGTATTTCCTTGTGATTAGATAATCGTAAAGTTAGGTATCAAACAGACTGTCTGCATCATCCAGTGTTTGTTTATCATAGTGAAATAGTATATAAATGTTCATGGTAAGTGGAAGACTCAGGATTCTGGAGAATATCATGTTTTATTTTACGTGTTGTTTTCAAACGCTGTATAATATGAAAATATTCAATCTTTTTTTACTAACTCCCACCGAGTTCTCATTTAAGTAAACATATAAGTTGCATCAGACTTAGTAAACTAATTTCTCAGGAAATCCCAAAAGGTTCGTGTGAAATTCGCCAAATTGTGTCATTTTTGGCGTAGACATGATGTGTCCGGGTGTTGATTGAATGATGTGCGTGTGCTGCGTGGCAGTTCACTTTATCCTTCTTTATGTCTCCGATACGTGACCGTTCAAAGTGGGAGACATGAAGAGGCCAACTTTCTCTGACCATATATGTTTTCCGTGTTAAGTGGTGTACTATGGTGAGTAATGTTGAGGTTAGGCGTATGGTGCTAGGTAAGGAGGGGAGACCAACCAATGAGGTTAGGAAGCTGCGCAGAGTGAGATGGCTAGGTCGTGTGTTACGTATGCCAATCCATTGCTATCCTCGACGAACAATATCAACTGAAATAGAATTAAAATGGAAGAGAATTAAATGTGATCTAATAAGAACCTGGAATCAATTCATGAATCCGCCGAAAACAGACTCTTCGCTGAACTACTTGTCTTCTGTCTATTAATGTTCCAATGGGAATTTTTCATGAATTCATGAAGTCTTTGACTGCTGATTAGAGTCGGGTGAAGAGGTCTAGACTGCATAGCTGGGGTCCTAGAAACGCTGAGGATCAGTGACAGGAGACTGTTGGCGACATGACTCAAACTCTTACACGATGGTGCAGATGTACTCACTCTTTGTAATCTCCTAGATCCACTAAACCCTCATGTTTTTCCATGTAACTATTCCCTCCCCAATACATTTCCGCTCATTAAAGTCCCTTCGATTTCCTCTCTACTTTTAGTGTGCGTTTTTATGAAGTTAGGTAATCTGAACTGTATATTAATGGGATTGTAGAGGTATGCAAATGAAACCCACCGGGAAAAAGAGTCTTCATTGAAATACTTGTCTTTTCTTTCATTATGTCCCATTATTTAAGCATATTTACAAAGGATACACGGGGAGATATCTTAAAATTTGTCACATATTTTAGTTACGAAATTTAATCTCCTTTTTTTTTCTTAGCTTTATTGATCATTTTTTATTTTAGCCATCACTTTGGCTTTCCTTTCTTATCTGACCTTTATTCATTTTTCCATCCCTTATCTATGACGTATATACAGCAAATTTTTTTGAATGTCTCGTTCAAATGTTACATTATGCAGTTTTTTTACAGATTGTGTGTCTTTTGTAATCTTACCAAAAGAACTAATCGTACTGAAGGTGGAAAAACTGTCTAGATAAAAAAAACCAAAAAGAGAAGACTCAATGCTTTTGAATCGTGAAATACATTTAAGTAACACATTTGAAACCATCTATTCACACAAGCACTTACCATAGGAATTCTTACGCATGATAATAAGGTGGTTATGTGTGTGAGAATGAATATAGGTCAAATTGAAGGTCAAAATAACAATTGGAGATCAATAAAGCAGATAAGGAAGTATAATAGTGCATTGGTGTTGGTCTCTAAACCAAAATCTACTAAAAAGAAGGTTTAATGTGATGACGAACAGATTGTGGAACAAATAAAGATGACTTGATATTCAAGTGTTGGTTTGTAGGGATTTGATTGGTTACGGAATTTTCATCATGAGCTGACATTAGTTAGAGAACCATTGGAAAACCTGGGAGTACTGGACAGCCGTTTCGTCCTAGTTTGGGACTCTTCATCGGTACGCACCCACTGGGATTCGAACCCAGGACCTTCTGGTTACAAGGCGAGCTCGTATACCACTAAGCCACTGAGACCCGATCCAATGGCCAGTCCATGAATTCTAACTTCTGCCAATTCACGACATACCGCGACCCCTAGCCAATGTCTTCGGTGAGTATTTGTCCTCACACCCGACCTGCTGCACCCTACTGGTCACGACTTCTCACTAGAACCCCAGGTAACTACCTACCTGAATAGGGCCAGTCGCTAGTGAGCATCTCATTGAAATTCAAGTTTTGGTTTGTAGGGATTTGATTGGTTACTTGGACATCAACATACTTTAGGATACGGCCACTAAAAGGTTTTATAAATTAGTTCAAAAGACTTATAAATATCTATTTTATGCCCTGTATCAGTAATGTGTTGTGCATTTGAGGAGCTTGACTATCTGTTTTCACAATTAATAGGTTTTACAGACTCAATCTGCTCTGTAGCTGGTACTTGCAGAGATCGACTAGTCCTCTCTATGCATGTATAACCATATGTGCATTTAAATTAATAAATAGTGGGATGTGACATCATTTTTCACATGTCCTAACAGTTTAGAAGGATGTATGAACTTCATATTCTCAACCCTTCCAGTGTATATACTTTTCAGATATCAAAACATCCCTTCACTTAGTGGTACAGTTTTGTTGACTTTGATAGCAACAGATTCAGAATATCACTATTGTGAAGTTTAAGCAAGTATGAATGTAGTACTTATTAATTACTATTATTATAGATTTACTTTTATGTGCGTCGGTGGCACAGCGGTTAGGACGCTCGCCGACTATGCACATGGTCCGTGGTTCGATCCCCGGCCGACGCACTCCTCCACCTCACTAAGCCAGTAATAAAGCTGGCAAAGAGGAAGGTTGGGCATGAGGCTGGCAACCCCCATCCTGTAAAAATAATCACCACTTCTACAGCAACTTCAAGCCTCTAGCTTGAGGCCCTATGTTCCACTGGGAATGTGAAGGAATAAAAAGAGATTTACTTTTACATCAGTACTCCACCTATCGCTGTCAGTATAATCTTATTTGTTCGTTTGTGACTACCAATATACTACAGAATTAATATTTCATCCTGTTTGAGTCTTCTCAGGTAGTTGTACTATTTCCTTTGGAATCGAACCTAACACTATAAATTTCAAAAAGCATTCCTTTATTCACTGAATGGGATTACAACGTATTGTAGAATTCTCTTTGTGACTGCTAGTCTTCAAGTGCCAGTCTGTAAGGATATGATTTGTTTCAGGTAAGAACGCGAAGTGACATATCGTTTAGAGAACCACTGGAAACCAGGGAGTACTGGGAAGCTATTTCGTCCTAGTTTGGAATTTTTCGGTGGGGTTCAAACCCAGAACCTTCCAGTTGCAAGGCCAGCTCGTATAATATTAAGCCACTGAGACCAGATACAACGGCCAGTGAATTCCAACTTCTAGTCTGTTCTATTACCGTATTTCCACTCTTCAGCTGTTTTTACTTTCATATCAGTGGACTATTGTACTCATTATACGTTTTGAAATTTCCTTTTTTATAATCATTACTTTCATGTTTAATAGTAATATTTTTGAATGTATTTTTTTCATTTTCTAGATGGTGGCAACTTCCATACTACTGGGCTGGTATTAAAATGTATGATTTAATATCTGGTTCTCAAATTCTGAAAGCTAGTTATTACTTGAGTAAATCACAAGCATTAGAACGTTTCCCTTTATTGAAACGTGATAAATTAGTCGGAGGGTTGGTATATTATGATGGTAAGGTGTTTCTCTGCTTTTCTCTTGTTATTATTGATTGCAGTATTTTACTTATATCATATTCACTAATGTCATTTGTCTACTTTGAACAGACTTTTCTCCTTTTTATCACTCGACCTGAAGTATAATTCGTCAGCTTAATTTGTTATTGTGCCATATGCTTCCGCAGGAATGTTTGTCTGAACAGTCAGTAGATTAGATTGTGGAAGGCAGCAACATAGTAATGGGAAAATGGTTTAGAAATCTACTTACCGACAGAAATATATGTGATAAATAGTATTGATAACTAGTGTGATATTCCCGTTGATTGCCGTCGTGTGCCAGTCCGTAGAGTGAAACCTGAGTGGGAAATGGTGAGTTGGACGTCCGAGGGGAACATGGAGGAAATCGTATGAAGAGGACCAGCTAGAGACGATTGCAGAGAACAGGATGAAGTGGATATGTGCTGTTGAAGCTCCAAGCCTAAGGGAATAATAATAGAGTGATATTAATTTGCTGTAGGTAATGTTGAAGAATCCCAGATTGGGACGAAACAGCCATCCAGTACTCCCTAGCTTTTGATGCTTCTCTAACTAATGCTAGTCCTTGATCTAGTTTCAAATCATTCTGAGGGGAATTGAGTGATACTGAAAGAAGCATCCAACTGCCTATGGTGAATCGGCTGCAATGAAAACTGTTGAAAATTAAGCACTCTTGCCTAACAGTCTCTATTCTAAACGTGATACTTAAACTACTTGTATGCTAACCTGATGCCTGTAGATATACGGTGACTCATATCCTTCATCCTTCAGTAATTATTGCATGCTAGTGATTTTCATTTCCTACAGTATAGCTAGTCTTTTATGATTGTATATATGTTTTTATATATACCGTGACACTTAACACAATAGGTTCAAGGTAATTCATATTTTCTTTGTCATGTATACGATATCGTAACTTGTACTTTTAATATTCTGTTATTTGCACACCTCAGATGTTTTCATGTATGTGTGTGTGTGTGTGTGTATGTATGAAACGAAAACGCCTACAAGTAGTTCACTTTATGAAAGCAATCGTTAAGACTACGCTTCTATTCAATGCCTAACATGAAAAACAAAAAAAACAAGTGGATTTTTTTGTTTCAGTCATTCCTTAATAAGAAATATTGATTAACTAAAATTATTTTAAATGAATGATTAGCAGGAGTTCGATTGATTTAAAGGGAGGAGCACTGGATATGCAGTTTTCCCATCCTGGTTTGGGACTCTTCATCAGCACACACCTATTGTAACAACAGAAGACAAGGGCCAGGCAACAGATCGTTTATTAAGGAAAATCAACACATATTTATAGATTTTAATGTACATTATTACAGATCATTGTTAGTAGAAAATACAGTCTTTTGATTGGTTGTTTCTCACAGAAAGTTAACCTTGCATCTCTTTGTGGTTGTGTCAGATCATCCATATGCTAACTGTATCCGCCTACGCAAAGCCTTTGTTCTCATTTTCTCACCACCAATATTGGGGACATAAACACTGACATCAATTACTGTCTACCAACTTTGGCTAGCAGCCAGCTCTCACCACACTATGACCCCACCGGGGCTAGTAACCAAAACCATCAAATTATACGAGTGAGAATGTCATTCGCGCATCATCGACACTTATCAGATTTGATGCGCCCTAATGGTTGTGACTTCTTTTTAGAACCCTGAGAAGTTTATCTGATAATTAGTTACTAATTATCAGTGGATTAATTTCCAACTGTGTTTGTATGTAGGAATTTCCGTGACAGATTTTAGGATTTTTGTGTCATTGAATTTCGACCCACTATCTGGATGGTAACATAGTTGGTCTTAAACTGTAGGTCCTGTTTTCGATCCCTAGTAGAGTGATCGGTGTGTACTGCTGATGATCTCAAAACTAGAGTCAAATAGCTGTCCATTTTTCAATGATTCTTTAATTATCTACCTATCCATGACTAAATATACTTCAAAAGAACTTCAGTAGAAAAGCAAATAAGTAGTAAACTAAAGATCAATTATTTATTTTTATGTTAATTCACATTTCCAATTGACTGAGTATTCTGAATAGTAATGCAGCGGGAAATAATAATAGTAATACTAATAATAACAACTGATGCCTGTTGCACTAGAGACGGTTCTTGTAGTCTTACGGACTAAATGCTTTGGCGTTTAAAACGATGAGTGCAGGATTTGAGTCTTACTGGGGATTGCAAGTACACTCAACTGACGAGTGCCAAATAGGACGAAATGCGCACTCCTAACTCTGCTTCCAATCACCATCAACCAAAATAACTTCATAAAAGAACAAGTAGCATGGAAATCATATCATAAAAGTTCATCATAAATACTGCCATAATCATTTGAGTAGCTTAGCCACAGATCGGATAATATCAACGGAGATATTCTCATAAGTTTTTCTTCAGTTTATTTCGGTACCCTAAGAAATATATTATTATTCCTATTAGTGTTACTGTCATTTTAATTATAATCATTATCACTGTCATGAGTAGTGTATCCTGTACGCTACTCATACCCATGCAGATTTCAGATAAGGAGTACTGGACAGCTGTTTCGTCTTAGTCTGGAACTTGTTGACAGGTCGCATCCACCGGGGGTCGATGACATTGGCTGGTGGTCACGCTGAAGTCACGAACTGGTAAAAGTTAGAATTAATTGGCCGTCGAGTCGGGTTCCAATGGCTGAATGTTCTACGAGCTTGCCTTGTACCCGGAAGGTCCTGGGATCGAACCCAAGTGGGTGCGTACTGCCGAAGAATCCCAAACTAAGAGTCAATGGCTGCTCGGTAATTCTTGTGTTTGAATGGTTCTCTAACGGAACACAGTTTGCCAAAAGAATTTTATTGCATGACTACTTGGTTGTTTCATTGTCCGATTAACTTATCATTGGTATTCTGTGTTTGTTCTGTATAGAAAATTACAGACAATATGTATATTTTCTCTCATATTTTCACTTCCAACTAATACAGAATATAATACTCAATGCAATGTATATCACTTTTGGCACAGATTGAATATGTCACATTCCATTCTTAAGCAAATCACTTTTTCCTGTAATGCATTCCATTTATATCTAAAATGATGTGGCTTAACCTTGTACACCTTCTCTTACTTTTACTATGTTTTTTTTTAAAACATCATAATCTAAGTGTCGGCGCTTCTTGAAGGCACCTAAGCCAATAAACACTAAATTATGAGATAAATTGATCTAGATAAACATTAGTGCTAATTTAACCATGAAAAAAATAAGATCTCTTGGTTGATTCACAATAGTAATCAATTGTTATTTAGATAATGCGTTTTTTCGTAGGAATTTGGATCAATTTCAACTTAGATGTTGTCACGAACCAGCATCAGTTAGAGGTTAATGAGACCTAACGATCCACGGACAGCTGTTTTGTCCTTGTTTGAGACTCTTCAGAGCTGCTCAGCCGTGAACCTACCAGGAATAGAACGTGAGATGAATTGACGAAGTTTGAATTCATGGGTCATTGAATTCCAAGCCAAGTGGCTGAATGGTCCACGAGCATGGTTCCGTAACCTGAAGACTCTTTGTATGGTTGGCTCGTGGGTATGTACTGCCAAAGAGTCCTAAACTGGGGCGCAACAGCTATCCAGTGTTCTCACACTAATGTTGATTCGTGAAGAAATCTTTACTGAAATTAATTTAAAGTCCTACAAAATCCATAATCTAATTGTCCATCTTCAGCTTATTGTCGGCTACTGGATGGATGACCTAAAGTTGTAATTAGAAGTCGTAATCAGTCGGTTCCACCATGTCAAAGTGAATTCGATGCTCACCGATGGCATTGGTTGGTGGTATTGCTATATCACAAATTGAAAGAAGTTGAATTTCATGGATCATTGAGTTCCAGTCAAGATTAGCCTTGTATCCTGGAGGTAGAGGTGACGGTCGGCGTTGTGGGTGCGCGCTGTTGAAGTGTGCAAACTACGATGTTACACCCGTCCAGTGCTCTATTATTTTCGATAATCTGCAACTGGCACCGGTTATTCATGAAATCTGCACTGAAAGTAATCAGTTGTGTTCAGAAATTTTTAGATAACCGTTAAATAAGTATTCCCACTTGTGTTCCCAGTCAATATCATGGTCAAAGTTATAGTTCATTATTGTGATCTGCTACTGTGCCTTCTAGGCTAAAAGTGACACTTTTAGATCGTGGATGTAAGTTAGTCATTGAGTAGATGATCAGGTATGCTTCTAGAAATGAGTACGCCTTCATGTATTTAATTCAATTTTAGATTTTCCCGTCGATTGATTGGACCCAAGTGGTCTAGTGGATAACGCTTTGGCGTTTGAAGCTATATGCACTGGGTTTGATCCTCGGTGGGAACGTCACCACTCACTGGGGAATGCAGGTACATCCAGTGACGAGTCCCAAGTAGTACGAAATGCGCGTTGTCGTGGATTTCACTGCTAGTCACCATCCACCAATTAAAGCCTTCATATAGTTACATCCTTAAAATATTTGAATGATATATTGAAGTTAGTTAGCAATCTTAACGTACCTTGTTGGGACTGGTAGGAGCTGTTGAACGTCTCAAAACTCATTCCTACTTAAGCTTACCGAAGTTGTCAGTATTGTCCTATTTTATACCTGCTCACTACTTTTCTTCGCATACAGTATTCCAGTTTATTGTTATACTGTTATCATTATTCTAATTTTCTTTGTATTTCTATTAATAAGGAATTCACTCTTTTTTAAACATTTTTTTTACAGGTCAACAAGAAGATGCTCGTATGTGTTTGAGTATAGCTTTGACAGCAGCTCGTTACAATGCTGCAATTGCTAATTATGTTGAAGCTGTTGAACTCATTAAAAAATCACCTCAAACAAAATCAATTTCTTTGAAATCAACACTAGAGAGTACTCCTGAATCAACACCTATCGTATCAGGTGCACGTGTTAAAGATCGTTTAACTGGTAAAGAGTTTACAATTAATGCTCGTTGTGTTATTAATGCTACTGGACCATTCACTGATAGTATACGACAAATGGATGATAAAAAATTGCCAGCTATTTGTCAACCAAGTTCAGGAGTTCATATTATTCTTCCTGGTTATTATAGGTAATACTATTTATCCTTTTAGAAATATTTTTGTGTGTGATATTAATTGATTTTTAATTGGTGGATGGTGACTAGCAGTGGAATCCACGACAACGCGCATTTCGCCCTACTTAGGACTCGTCACTGGATGTACCTGCATTCCCCAGTGAGTGGTGAAGTTCCCACCGAGGCTACAATCGAGTGCCCATAGTTTCAAACGGCAAAGTGTTATCTCCATTATGGGTAAATTTTGTTTTGATAAAGTCTCACAGTGTTATACAGTAATGTTTACTGATGACGTTTCGAGCTCAATTTATTGCTCATAATCATATCAAGGTAATCACACGACTTCCTAAATTCATTTATATAGTTCCGTTGTTTTTCACTTGATTTGGTTGGTACCAGTATCTTCCATATTTCGCGTATGAGTGATGAATCGTTCCTATTGCATGTTTTGGGTGTAGATTCGATGAACAAGGATTCAGTATTCTTATATCAAAGTGTTATTTCCTAGATAACTTGGGTCACGAGAGCCACATCTTGTGGAGTGGCGTTTGAAATTATGGGCAATGTGTTCGAGTCCCGGTGGGAACATCACTCGCTGCGGAATGCAGGTACATCCAGTTGACGAGTCCCGAATGGGACGAAATGTGCGTTGTCCTGGATTCCACTGCTAGTCACCATCCACCAATTAATTTCTAATTACATGCCCAGACATCGTTAAAGCATCTGCACAAGGAGCCGCTCCGTCAACCTGAAACCTAGCACTTCGGTCCAATCAATCGACGGGAAAAACTAAAATTGAATTCAATTAATTTTTCTTTGAATAAGGCGTCTAGAAGACAAACTTCACGAGATGATGGTATCCCTCCGCAGTTTCTCTACAATCGCTTTACAAAACAACATGGTTCACAATAATAAAATAAAGTAAAAATGCATGACAATTACTCAGTTATGCAAAACAAAAGTACATACTAATAAACAATCTTATTTAAATAGGTCAAGTAGTCAGTTCATGGTAGGCGAAGAGGTTGAAGTGTCTATTGTTTTTCCATACACATAGTTTAGGATGTATGTGATTGATTAATCCTCCAAAGTGCTTCTATCATCACCTTGGATAACCTTGAATTAGAGTTATGTGATGAAACAATTGTGAAACAGTCGTTGATATTGATTTTGTGACCAGACATTAATAAGTGCTTTGCAATGGATGATGATGATGGATTTCTATTCGGATTAATTGCATTAGGGATTTTTGTGTGACTTAATAACCATTTAGGAAGATGTTGTTTCCGATGATATTGGAACATTCTATTGGTTCTTATGATGTAAGTATCAGTGGGACATCAGGTGAACTTGTAGATACATTGTGTATTAGAATCCACAGAATTTCGTCGTTTAATCGTAGGTACAGGCGTCGAAAATGTTCGAGATGTGATAGAAAGAGATGCGGCGTAAAATGTGCACCTGATGGCTGACAGAAGTCTTTGAGTTACTAACTCTTGAATGGTAGGTTAATAAAAGTAGCTTTCTTCTATACAGAAGCTCATCTATCAATGTGTCCGTCGTGCATATTTTGCGAGCCCTTGAAAACAAACACTTCACAAAAGAACGTTTATACTGGATAGGAACAAAATTGGTGAAATGAAGATATTGTCCACTCCATGTCTGATTACGAAATATAGATATCTTAGTCTCTCCTAGTCATTAAAATATCCAAGAAACTGAGTCTTTTATTCGATTCGAATTCAGAAGTCACTCGAATGTGTACAGTAAACAATAGGCACTTCAACCTTCGCCTAACATGAACTGACTAGTTGACCTATTTAAATATGATTGTTTATTAGTATGTACTTTTGTTTTGCATAACTGCGTAATTGTCATGCATTTATTTTACTTTATTTTATTATTGTGAACCATGTTGTTTTGTGAAGCGATTGTAGAGAAACTACGAAATGATATCATCATCTCGTGAAGCTTGTCTTCTAGACGCCTTATTCAAATTTGTCAAAGGGACTAATTGTTTAAATTCTCCTTTTTTCAATGTTGTATATAATTAAAGTAGTTGTATACTTTTAATGTGTAATCACTCTGCGTTTTTGTATGCAGCATTTTTCACTCTAATATGCCACTGAGGTCAATAATTTGAAAATAGATATATAAATTCATATTTCTGTTTCCAGTCTGGTTTTAGAGTCTGAGATTTTGAGTGCCTAGTCAACAATCACAACAGATAGAGAGACAGACTTACAGGTTATGACCCTATATTAAGCAAACTAGAGTAAATATTTCCTCTCTTTCCCACGAATGAAATTTGATCTAATCGTCGGTTTTTACTAATATTTTCCTTTCTAGTCATGTTTTTCTGGCGTAAATCTTCCCCTACCTTTTTATAAATGGTTCGAGTGGATAAACGAATTTTCTTTTTTGAATGAGGAGTTAATTTCACCTTCTGTAATCATCGTATGGTTGATAAATCTGTTTTAAAACTGAGTAGAATGTTAACCCTTCTCACAGATTGCCATTACTAAGCTGTTGATTAGGTTAAACATGATTTATGTTTTGAAGATAACGATTAAACTCAGTGTTTGTTATGATTAAATTAGAGGAGAATTTTATGGTATTACTTAATCTGCATGATATATATGCTATTGAAATTTCAGCTCTATCTGAATAATAAGTTGTTTGACTTGACCGGAGTGCTACTAATTTTCCCATTTGGTCCCAGTGAGAACATCACATCTCTATATCACTCTTTTCTTAACAGTTCTTTTTAGTTGACCTCACAATTCCACAAGGGTCCTCATTTCTCCTCTTTACACTATCTCCTCCATGTCATACTTAGGTGGCCAATTCATCGTTTTCCATTCGGGTTCCACTTTAGGGCATGTTGTGTGACTGGTGCTCGTTGTTGTTGTTGTTGTTATTGTTCGTTAGGTATCTATATCACCTCTTTTCTCTGTGTTCATTTAAAGTTCTGTCTTCTTCTCTGCCTTGTTTGCTAACTTGTCGGTTTTCGTCTGTAGATCTTTGAGTTTGCGTGACATCAGACGTAAATCGTCAACGAAGTCCAAATCTTCTAGAGTCTACTTTCCGACGTATTCCTGTCTTCCCGCTCTCTACGTTCTACCGCATGATCCAGTTCAACAAAATGAGGAACAGTAGGTAGCCTTGTCTTATGTATTCACCTTAAAGGCTTTTCTGAGTTTTCCGTTGTGGATCACTTGGTATGTGGCATTGTCACATAGCTGTTGAATAAGGTTGATAAAGATTTGGGGCACTGAACTCCATAGTGTTGAATTAGTTTCCCAATTACTTCACGGCCAACACTGTCAGAGGCCTCTTCAAAGTCGATGAGATTGAGGTAGAGTTTTGAATGATATTCTATTCTCATCTCGATGATGATGTGTTGTAGACTTGCAATTCGATCCGCACATGATTTGCTGTTCCTGAATCCAGTTTGTTGTAGGCAGACTTCTACATTCAGTACATAATGATTTAGTCACTCCAGTATAATACGACTAATATTTTGTTTGCAGTGAATAGAAAACATGATTGCAGTATGCCATAAGAATAACTGTTTGGCAAATCTACTTGTTTTCTATAGTTTGCTTTGTAAGGGTTAGCTTTGTTTTTACGGGTCGATCACGGATTGATATCAGTTAGAGAACCATTGAAAACCAGGGAGTACTGGACAGCTGCTGTTTCATCCTAGTTTGGAACTCTTCAGCAGCACGCACCCACTGGAATTCGAACCCCGGACCCTCCGGTTAGAAGGCCCACGAGCTCGTAGACCATTCAGCCACTGGGACCCGATTCAATGGCTCATGAATTCTAACCAGAAGGTCCTGGGTTCGAACCCTGACGGTGGGTGCGTACTGCCGATGATTCCCAAACTAGGATGAAACAGCAGCTGTCCAGTACTCCCTGGTTTTCAATGGTTCTCTAGCTGATATCAATCCGTGATCAACTCGTAAAAATCTACTTGTGACTGATGTAAACTGGAATTCTGGTAATAATCAGGTTATCATAACTCAACTGGTAAATAGTCGAATCAATGACTTCAAGACAGCTTCTCCAGATCCTTCCATACTTTCATTTCCCTAATATATAATCCTCGCTTTTGTTAAATTATAGTATCTAAAATTAACTTTACTAGTCTTATAATACATGCTTATAACGACTACAAATAAATAAGCAGTTTCGTTTGATTTTCTCATCGACGATCATCGTTAATCATAATCCATTTGATTGTGTTTCAACTTTCAATTAATCTGTATCGTTTATGCCTCTATTTATATACTATTTTGTACTAAATTGCCTATACTCGTTTCTGGTCATATCACCTCCACACACACACACATACACACCTACACACAGGGTTGATCAATAGCTTATGTGAAAGATAGGTAGGCAAATAGGTTGTTTTTACTAAACCCTTTTATGTATATCTATGTATGTATATGTATGTATGCATGTATATATTTTATATATAGAATGAATTGTGTTGTATCTGAAATTCAGTTAACATAAATGTCACGTGGACTAAGAAAGAAATACGACAGTAGTAGATTGTGTAAGTAAGGTCATTCATTTTTTTTTTGATAAAATCAATTCATCCATGTACAGAATATGTTATGCCTTAGTTCTTCCTATTTGAAGTACTTTTAAAAGTATCATCATCTATCCACTTAAGCAGCCTACAGTAGAATGATCAAAGGCATCATATGCATTTCTACTGATTTGTTATACACTATTAAATCATCTGTGTTATGCCTTGTTAGTTCATCATTTATGTCTAGTGATATTTATTTAAAATAAGGTACTTTTTAATTATTTGTCTAAGGTGTGTTTTATAATTAGAGTTTTTCAATGTCATCTCATATCCACCTGCTTCGTTGTACTTTTGTTGTTGTTGTTGTGATTTGCCTTGTCACTTTTCGTCGCTGTGTGCCTAACATTATAAAAGAATTTGGATAGCGTTGATAGAGGATAAGGTTGCCTATTATCACTGATGACAT